TATAAAAAATCAATGTCACATGACTGACACACATATTAATAACTTTCACTCATGTGCCATGCTGGTATACAATATATATTTACCCCGTAAACCACTTTTAATTGATACTTCACTTCTCGCCCCACGTGACCCAAGCTGTCGAGACCCAAGCTTCGCTGTTGAATGAACAGTACACAATGCACCATGTGTTACGTCGAAAACAACTGTCAATAAACAAATAAACTGCTGGCTGATTGGATAGCCAATCAGGCATAGTTTGGTAAGTTGCTTCGCATTGACGATTACTTTGAGCTGGAATCATCAATATCTTGGCCAATACACATTAATTTCTCGTAATATTGTGATTCAAACAGTTACCATGCCAATATCGATCTGGTGTATAGTTTTCACAAGCCGGATTTCCCGCAGTTTGTCTTTGATTGTTGTCTTCATTCAAATGCTGTGCGTGTTCGTATATAACGTGTTTTCCTATATAATAAGATTGGTTCTACTCGCGTCCAATCAAGAGTGGATTTAGTGATAGTAGGCAATTTGCACACGATACCTTTTTTTCATAACGCGACTATCGGTTCATTTAGTGCGGCAATTGTAATTAGACTGCAGATTATTCAATAGAGGTCACCAAACCGAATCGACCCCATATATGTTTAGGTTAGTTTCTAGCCTTTATCACGTATCATACATGCAACCAGATAATATTGAAATGGTATAGGCTCCGATATGTGTTTCCTGTTGTTCATTGCTATTGTTGTTTATTTGTGATTTTTTTTTGGGGGGGGGGTTACTATGAGGCTATTACGAAGATATCGTACTCGAGGATATCGCATCGACCTCCGCTGCGCGTCAGTGCATACTCCCGCTCTACTGTCTTCGTGCATACTTTGAGGTATTCTCGTAATAACCTTAATATACATCTTTTCCTCCCAAGGATACATCATGCCTTTTTTTGTGAATGAAATGCGCCAGTGAAATTTCAAATAAAGTACCCTCGGGGCTGCCATGTTTGTTTTTATTATTAGAGGACGCTCACGCGCGATATCCTTCCATATTTTTAATTCGCATTTCCAAATATGGTAGGATGCAAATATCCAGTGCAATACCGCAAAATTACGGCACGCTGTAACTTATGATGTTACGGTGACAGATGTATATTAATTGCCGTTATTACGATATATAAGAAATCTTCATATAATAACGGCGAGTAAAACTCCTCACAATAGTCACAAATAAACAAAAAATATGATTATAACTTAATTAGATTTTAATTAAATTGTCATACATAATGCAATCACAAATATGGTAACGCATATTCCTTGCATGTATTTAAAAAAAAAATTGTATAAATAGACCAGTGTAGTATGTCACGTGGTATTGGATGGGTTTATCGCTTATCGGTGATGATGAATCATATGTTGCCAGCTGCATCTTACAAAACGAAGGATCATTGCACAGCTGTGAACTAACACTCTCGTAGGCTGCTATGTTACAAAATACCTTTTTTTTTAAAATAAAATAAAAAACGTCATGGTCGTTCTTGCGTGGTAATTAGCTGGTGTATTTTAAACATTTTGGGCACGTACGCTATATGTAAGAAACTATCAATTATAGCAGCGTAGTCGTTACACCGCGGGTCTCGTGCAATGTACACACGCATGCAAATTACATTGCTTATTTACACGAAATTCGAGCGCGCACTGCGAGGATGGTGCGTTATGTGCCGTCAGCTGTAGCCTTTTATTGCGCAAATTCTCAAAAGGCTATAAAAGTTGAATTACATTCATTCATTCAATCACGATGCATTCTCTGATGGACGATTCTATCACGTGACTACTTTCAACTAATCACGATGCGCACTCTGCTGGGGAATATCAGCGCCATGTTAGAATTTGAATCATGATGTTGAATTGAAATGAAACTCAATTGTAGGCAACTATGACCCCCACACCGATTTCCCATGACCACGCTATCTCTTGAGACCTAGAACAACAAACCGCGCAACCATCAACGTGAGTAAACGACTTTGGAATGCCATTAATGGTTGGAATGACATGTATTTACCTACACCATTACATAGACATTTGTTATGCCGACAGTTTGTTGGTTCGCACACGTTTCCGCATACATTGTATTGACATTCGAACGACAGCGATGAGTTTGATTTTAACACAAATACTAGTAGTACTACATGTATAGTATGTAGAACACGCAACACTGTGTACACTTCCAGACGCAACCGCGTACATATCTTGAAAAGTAACGGAGGAAACCGAATAGCGTCAGGAGGTGATTCGAACAATATTTGAATACGGATTGTGCATCACCGTGAGATATTAAACCCAATTATTTGCCAAAAAAGATTAACAAAAACCATCGATGTCTTCTCATATATCGTTTATTGTGTTCGTAATACAATATCATAGTTCTAGATAATAATGGATACTGAAGCTATAATGCATTTTTATAATGACCTCCCACCAAAGTTAATGTTTAGAGGATGATTTCTTTTTGTGGCATCGTCGTTAAGAACCCATTAATGGGTTACAATAATCCGACTAATGGGGAGTTTGGATTTAGCCGTGTTGTTTGAGTG